TTAAAAACAATTGATTATGCAAATATGCAAGAGAAAAAAAAGATATATTATTAAATGATAACAAGAAAGAACATCTATACCAAAAGAGATGCTCTTCTAACGCGAACAACACGTTGGATTGGTGATAACTTATCATTTTTCTGATCGCTTAAAACATGTACTCCACCACCACCATTACCACCACCACTATCAGTACCTGAATCCAAACTCATCCTTCTCATATGATTATGATTATTATGACGATGATAAGAGTTTGGCTTATATGCAGATGAATTTTTTGATCTTGTGGAAGTGTAAGGTGGAGGTGTTGAAGATTTCGTAGGAGTGCTAGGTCTCGATAATGACAATGATGATGATGATAATGATAATGATTTTTGTGGTAAAGTAAATGGGAAAAAAGAAAATTTCGATTCATCTTCATTACCAGATTCAATTTCACTGGATGGGGTTGGTATATCAAGCTGCATTGAGGCATTAGACACGTTACTATCTCTACGATGGTGGCCTGATCCAACAATATCGTGTAATTGAATAGACATTGATGAACCATTGCTATCTCTTCGGGAATGTCCTGATACCAACACTGGTTCATCTAGATTGTCAACCTGCTGTTGATTTGAAGAATTGCAAAAATTATTACCGCAATTGGTATTAACATTACTATTACTACTACCGCCATCGCCTCCGCCTCTGCCACTATTTGCCAACATTAGTTGATTAATATTAATAGTATTCAATGAGGGTGGTGTAGGTCTAGTTATTTTATTAAGGAAAGGTTGTGTAGACAATTGTGTTGAAGTTAATGATGTTTGATCACCATTTATAGTAGATAAAGTAGTAGCATCCTCAAAAATCATACCAGCACCACCACTATTATTGTTGTTGTTGTTGTTGTTGTTGTTGTTGTTGCTGCCGCTGCTGCTGTTATTGTTGTTGTTTACTTGGAGTGTAAAAAGTTTTCCAAGTTCATCTTGTGAGTTAAAGTGTAAACTTGTAGTGGTGTTCAT